CGCGCGGCGCGAGCGCCGGTCCTGGCGCGAACAGGCTGCCCTGCCCACCGCCGCGGACGCGGACGCGGCTGTCTCCGAGGCGGACGTGCCCCGTCCCTCCTGCGATCTGTACTGCAACCACTCCGTCGAAGGTACTCTGTCACCGTGTGATTGCAGCAGTTATTTTTGTTTGAGCTGGAAGACTCTTTAAAACCTTTGTAATTGCTGCATAATAAATTTTGTTAGAACAAACAGTAATGCTTTTTTTTTTTCAGTAAGTTTGCTTTAATTTTTAAATACTTTTACATTCCAGGGAAGGTTTGGCAGCCAAAGGGTTTTGCTGCGTTAATAATCGTGTAATATCAGATTATTTGATTTCAGTAATCACCACAAAATCATTACAGGGACATACAAACTATTAACTTGTCCATACAGTGTGTGATTTTCCCCTCCCCCTCCTGCCCTATAATGCATAATTTTAACAAGATTGCTCTCAAAATTTATGAGGCTAGAATGAAAGCAGTTGTATAAAGTGTGGACTTTCAGATATATAAAATACTGTTGACACATAAGTTTTTTTTTCCCTGATAGTTGAGACCTACAACTTTTAGTATAGTTAGTATTGTCATCGAAGCAAACCAGGGTCCGCTTGCCACGTGCAGTGAGGCCAGATATCTACACTGAGTTATTGCAGTGGTAAAAAGAAAGGTAGGGATTGTTTTTTCTTCTCAAGTAGCCCTAAGAATCCTCAGTTAGAATTAAGATATGTATAAGCTGTGTAATTGGAAGATAGAGGGGAAATTGGATTTTTAACATGCTCCTTTTCCTGAAGCATTTGCTCATGGAATTATGAGATGAAATCATTGCTTGCAGGGCCCCAAGCAAGGAGGACTAGGTAGCCAACACTTAAATCCCAACCTCCCCAGTGGGTTGCAGGTGAGGGTTTTTAAAGGCAAGAATCAGTTTCAGGAAAGCAGAAGTTACAGGCAGAAGCATAGGTGAATGCATGGAGGTTACATATTGGTTTGGCCTAAAAGGACGGGCGAGACATCTAAGTGGAAAGCTCGCATGCAGGTCATAGGTGAAGTTAGAGATGTTCTAAACTGCAGCTAGTTAAGGAAGAGAAGCTTTGTTTAAAAGTCTGGGGTCAGCAGAAAACAATGTCGGCTCTGGCTCGTGGCATGACTTCCAGACCCTCAGGAAGAAAATTAGAATAGAGAATGGTGGTCCAAGTTCAGTGCACAGTTTCCCCTTTTCTTGGGGCTGCCTGCTGGCTGATCTGGGTGCACGAATAACCTGAGGATGTCAGGCAGCTCAGAGTCGTGTGTTAAGCTGCTGTCTGTAGTTTCTCTGGGGAGCCAAACATCTGCCTCTAGTTTCCTTGCCCCCTGTTTTAAGCTACCTGTTACCTTCTTGCTTCTCGGGGTTGCTCATTTGCGTCTCAAGGCTGGCCAGGCGCCTGGAATTTCCCTGGAAGGAATTCAAGATTTTCCTTTAATTGCAAGTTTGCGGTGGATGGGGAGGGCAGGCCCCTGAGAGGGATTCCCTGGTCCAGCTCAGTATCTGTGATTGATACTATGCTTATGGCCAAAAGTTACTGGGTAAAGAGTGAATTGTCAGTTCTGTTTTAATTATCTTAAAAGCCGGTGTGTTAGTGTTCTAAGTAGGCAATTTAGTATTAATACACGAACATGAGCTCAACTAACTACTGTCACATGAGACTTTTATTTCCTTAAGCTTTGGTTCGTCGTGGCAGGCTGCTGTATTGTATTCACTGGCCTGAAGGAGTGCAGTCATTCTCAAGAGTACCAGCCTCGTGGATTCAGTGATGCAGGAAATAGTAGAATCTGGGTGAACTAGATAAATGCGAGTAGAAGATCAATGAATGTTTATAATAATGTTAAAGATCAGCATTTTAAATGGTTACTGTGGGCTGGGCTCGGTGGCTCAGCCTGTCATCCCAGCACTTTGGGAGGCCGAGGCGAGTGGACTGCCTGAGCCCGCGGGTTCAAGACCAGCCCGAGCAGTTTGGCGAGACCTCGTCTGTACAACAGATCAAAAATGAGCCAGATGTGGTAGTACGCCTGTAGTTCTTGGCTACTTGGGAGGCTGAGGTGGAAGGATCACCAGAGTCCAGCATGTCGATGCTGGGATGGCCGTGAGTGTGCCACTGCACTCCAGCCTCAGTGACGGAGTGAGGCTCCAACTGGGACGAAAAAGGTTACTATGTATCCATTTGCATGGCACTGTGCCAAGGGGCAGTGTGAGGCTGATCTCATTTAATCCTCACAAAATCCTCAAGGAATAAACTTTTGCATATGAGCATACACAATTGTAGCATGTTCTTTATTGTCATCTTGGAAAACTTCTACAAAATACTTGCCTAAAATTTTTTTTCTTCAACTAAGGGACTGAATAACTAACAGTCAAACTTAAGGATCTGGAGCTCAGAAAAGAAAAGTGTCTGAGCTAGAGATGCTTTGGAAGCGTGGGGTTATGAGGCTGATAAAGCTGTAGGTGTGGATGAGACCAAGGAATGAGGTTGTGGATGGAACCTTGGGAGACACCAGCACTGAAAGGCAGACAGGGTCTGGATGAGAAGTAGAGTTCGAGATCCCAAAAAGCCTGTGTCCTAGAAGTGTCACAGTGAGAGCAGCCAGCCAACAATAAGTGCCAGAAGTGTCCGGAAAGGGAGAGCATTAAAAGTGTCCATTCGCTCTGACACCCAGAAGTTAGTCTCAGCAAGAGCAGACTCCAGAGAGGGTGGCCACAAAAGCCAGGGCCAGGAAGAGGTGGCGGTAAAGCCGTCTTTGGAGAAGCTTGACCGTACAGGAAGGGGAAGAGGCACGAGGACATGGCCGGGATGCAGGCTCAAGAGGATGTTTGTGTCTTTTGTCGTGCTCTTGTGCCGGAGAAGAAGAGATCCTTGAGAAGAACGGGGGAAGAAGCGCCAAGCCAAAATTTTATATGGAATAATACCAAAGGGCTGGTTAAGGAGGTCGCACACAGTTAGCATTTGGTTGAAGAAAAAACCAAGTTTCCGCAAGACATTAGTGTTGAGGCAGTCTCGGCCTCACAGGGCATTTCTTCCAAACTCGACAGAGTCCTTGAATGCGCCTTTGGAGCGTCCCTGGCTGGACTTGAATCCTCCAGTGACTGGAAGCGCCTTCCTCCAAGGCTCCCCAGCACCGGCTCTGCCACCAGCAGCAGGTGTCTTCACCTCTGTGACTCAGTCTTCTAAGCACTCTAATAAAATCACACCCTCTTCCTCACCTTGCTAAAGGTGATGTGAGATAGTTTGTGGGCGGTCTTGGGAGAGGTATAAATTGCTATAGGTGAGAAAATGGTTGTCTTGGAAAGTAAAAGACCAGATATCTTAGAGAAATGCCAAAGGATAGTCAGGCAGTAGGTGAAACCAGAGACTATGTGTGTTGAAGCCCGTTAGCATGATTGTGGTTTTGGCCATCTTTGGCTACTAGGAGGCACATCCATAGGAACGGATAATCCTGGATTTAGCCAGGAGTAGGACTTTGTTAAGTAAGCACACGGAAGAAGGGCGGTCAGAGAAGCAGGAGATTGGCAGAGAAGTGAGGCTGGTGATAATAATGCTCTTTATCATTTGTAACGCCCTTATTTGAGGCCAGGATTTTGCAAGTAAAAGCACAGTGAACAGATACGATAATTAATTGCCTTTCTTTGGTTAGCAAACTGATATTTACACATGGGTCAAGATGCTGGGTTCTTACCTCATTCTGTCCCTCCTTCATAACTAATTATATAAAGGTACTGTTAAAATGGGTTAAAATGCTTTAACACCATAACTTAAAATATTTACCCAAGACTTTAGGTCCTCATCAAACATTAAGTTTCTACCTTGTGGCTTCCCTCTGATTTTGAGTCTGCGGTGACCAGGTAGGTCCCAAGGGGAGAGTTGTGTGGAATGTTGCTCTGACCTGGAGCTGGAGCAGAAAGAGGGCTTCATGCACACCGGGAG